TGTGTACCTGATATTCAGGTGTGTTCTTGATATCCAGGTGTGTACCTGATATCCAGGCGTGTACCTGATATCCAGGTGTGTACCTGATATCCAGGTGTGTACTTTATATCCAGGTGTGTTCTTGATATCCAGGCGTGTACCTGATATTCAGATGTGTACCTGATATTCAGGTGTGTTCTTGATATCCAGGTGTGTATCTGATATCTAGGTGTGTACCTGATATCCATGTATGTTCCTGATATTCACGCATGTCCTGATATTCACGCATGTCCTGATATCCAGGTATGTTCTGATATCCAGGCATGTCCTTTTACCCAGGTGTTTACTTGATATCCAGTTCTGTACCTGATATCATCTCCACCCCAGAAAGCTCCCGTAGGAATATATAAACCATGTTTTGTTGCTGCAGTCTTTAATTCCTAAATATATACAAATTAATAATATACAGGGATACCCACATAGGATAAGACTGTACTAAAAAACTTCAAAAGATATGAAATTTTAATTTTAGTGTTGTGCTATAGATATAGTCTAATATAGTATTTTAATAACAAACAGATTATTTGTCAAAGAAAAGGTAAAGGGAAGCTGAAATATAAGATAAAATATCGACAAATTTCCGTATTTTTAAACAATCGTTTCTGAAGTCTCACCCTTTGTGGTTAGTCCCTTATATTAATATATTTATTTTTTTATTCTTCTCTATATCTATATTCTATATATTTAAACACCTAGATATAGCATATTTTCATTAATTTTTCTGTTTATTAATATTCAAAAGTCTATACCTATAACAATCATCAATAAATCTATAGAATTTTTCGAACTGAGCACATATATTTAAATCCTTCCAACCTGTTCCAGAATACCATCCGCTAAACCTGTCGGAGACCCAATCATAAAATCTGCAGTCTAAAAATTTAAAAAAGTTTTTTTCAAATGGCAAATATCTATTTGTATCCTTTTATCTTTTAAAAAAATCGATTCTTACTTCTGTTGAAATATTCCAAAATTGAATTTAATGGATTTCATGTTTTAAACATTTTATTCTTCTACGAGAGCCAACAATTTTATGTTCATTGTAGAAAACGGAGGTACATTTTTTGTCATAACATTAAAAAGCGTTTGTTTAAAAATTATAATTATGTAAAATGATGTGATTTAGTGATAAATCAATCTATCTTTGTACTTGTATACCTGAAGGAAAAGCTTTCCAAACTGTTTTGTTATATCAGGATGCGCCACTTCTACGATAACATCCGGTTCACCGCGCGCACACTCGTTTAAATCTCTCAAGATCAGACTTTCCTCTATTTTCTCCTAGGTTGTTTGTTTAAAGGGAGTTATCAGAATTAATGCAGCAGGATAAAATTTTCAGACTTTTTCAGACAACGCCAATATCTTTCTCATTCTTACTCACAGATGGGATACAGACATACCACTTTATAAATGAAGGGGGATACAGACACACCACTTTATAAATGAAGGAGGATACAGACATACCACTTTATAAATGAAGTGGGATACAGACACACCACTATATAAATGAAGGGGGATACAGACATACCACTTTATAAATGAAGGAGGATACAGACATACCACTTTATAAATGAAGGGGGATACAGACACACTACTTTATAAATGAAGGGGGATACAGACATATCACTTTATAAATGAAGGAGGATACATACAAACCACTTTATAAATGAAGGAGGATACAGAGTACAGACATACCACTTTATAAATGAAGGGGGATACAGACATACCACTTTATAAATGAAGGGGGATACAGACACACGACTTTATAAATGAAGGAGGATACAGACATACCACCTTATAAATGAAGGGGGATACAGACACACCACTTTATAAATGAAGGGGGATACAGACATACCACTTTATAAATGAAGGAGGATACAGACATACCACTTTATAAATATGAAGGGGGATACAGGCACACTACTTTATAAATGAAGGGGGATACAGACATATCACTTTATAAATGAAGGGGAATACTTACATACCACTTTATAAATGAAGGAGGATACAGAGTACAGACATATCACTTTATAAATGAAGGGAGATACAGACATATCACTTTATAAATGAAGGGGGATACAGACATACCACTTTATAAATGAAGGAGGATACAGACATACCACTTAATAAATGAAGGATCACTTGAAATTACGTATACAATCTCTTCCATTATAAAGTTATAAATTTATTATAAAATCAAAAACTTCTTATAAAATTATAAAATTTATATGATATTATAAAATTACGCATACAATTTTTTCAATTATAAAATCAAAAATTAATAAATTTAAAAGAAAAAGTGGGCTTAGCAAATTTATTTCTTGGTGTCACACAAGTTCACCTTAACACTCACACGTGTACTTTGTCTATGTGCAGCATTTGACTACAAAACTAGATTTCTCTGGCAAACTGTAAAAGATGAATCACTACAAAGCAAAAAAAATGTGTTACTTACACTTATATCTGATCTATTCCAAACCCAGGCTAACTCAAGATCTAAACAAAAATAACAAAAGTTATAAAAAACAAAAGTCAGAACTCAGAGGCCGTTCCTTCCATAAACTACATTGGTCGACTACTTGACGTCTCCTATATTAGTCGTCAACTGTACGGAGAAATATCTATCTATCGGATAAGAATTTAGCAGGAGACATCTAGCGGCCAACATATCGTCCCCCAAAGTACGTGAACTACACGACCACTTTCCATCGAGAGAACAGGCTCAGTATATAAGAGCTCATGTAATATTTTTACAAAGAACCATGGATCATCGGACTTATCTAAATAATAACGCTCATATCCAAGCTTGTAAAGTGTCCATGCTTCGAAAATCACAAGCCAAAAAATTAAGCACATACATTCCAATGGCCGTAGCACTCGGCTCAGAAACTTTTGTAACCTGCTCCTAACGGAAAAATTGTCAAAAAATACATAATATGTACTTTGAATTTAATTGTGATTCTTAATTGAGCTCGCAACGTGTTTACAGTTTGTCAGCGAGTTCTATTTCCAGATTAATAGTTACATAGGTGTAGGTAAATATAGCGCAATTAAACTGCAAATGAAAGGGGGTATAGGGTGACACCTGAGAATCTCAGGCGTTGAACGATACATATAAGACATCTATCTGATGTTCCTGTCTCGAGAAATTTATTTAATACTGTGTCAGAATTATACGAAAATTCATATATTTATAAAATTTTGTATAAAATTAGTAGGTTTAAACAGATCATATTTAGCAAATACGCAACTAATCTAAAAACGATTATATCCCACAGGATCCTGAGAATCTCAGGTTTGCTCCTTATATAATTTTTATTTTGCATTTTAATAGATATAATTGATAATATTATCACATACAGTCCTTATCATGTCACCAAAACTTCAGCCAATGGCAGTGCAGTATACTGGTCACGTGATACAGACGGAAATCAGATAATGACTTACTTTTGGGGAGTGGTATGATAGTTTGGCCACTAGATTTCTCACGCTAAACTCTTATCTGATGGATAGATAGTTCGAACGCATACAGTCGCAGATGTCCTCTGGTGTCGACCATTATAGCGTTGACAAGGAATATGCTCGGATGGAAACAGTATGATTTTTAAATAAATATTTTGCAAGAACTAATCTCTAACCTGTATGCTTGTTAATGCTCTCCATTAAAAATTGTCCAAGATGGCCGTAACCAACAATTCCAATTCGAACCATTTTAAGAAATTAACTATTCTGAAATATAATAATATAAGATAAACTCCAGAAAAGGAATACGATATATTATAGCAAACGTATGTGTAGTAAATTTTGTTGTAAAGATTCGGAGTTTTGCAAGTAGCTTCAAAACCACCATTTTGAATGAAACTTCAGGTGTTCTATAAAATTTCAATGAGGAAGATATATTGTCGGCTTTTCATCTTCAAAAGTGTTAAATTCTCAATATTTCCTTCTTTGTCTCTGCAGCATCAATCCGCTATACACTTTTTTACAGAATAATCCCAATTGAAAATAGTCAATTTCCAAGCCGAAAAATAAGGATATCTCATTTATCCTTGACAAGATGAAGGTTTAAAGGACAATGCACCGTTGTGAATCGAACATACTGGCAATCTATAAATTTAAAATGAGACCTAATGTCCTTTAGGCTATATTTTAAATGCACAGAACATATTCATGTTATCTCAGGGTTATGAATGTATTCCACAATATAAAACCCTCCTTTAGGCTATACCTTAAAAACTGTTAAATTCTCACAATTTCCTTCTGTGTCTCTGCAGCATTAATCCGCCAAACCACTTTTATTACGGAAAATCCCCAACTGAAAATAATCAATTTTTAAGGAGAAAAATAAGGATTTCTCATTATCCTTAACAAGACCAAGGTTCATGGATAGTTTAAGTTTATAAATGTATTTTTACAAATAAACCCTCCTATAGGTTTACTAAACTTGCATTCACGCTGTGTCTAAAATCCAAAATCTACGACAACTGAGTATTCTGTTTCTCTCTCAGCTGTTAAACTTGAATTTCAAGTTTATACAAATTATAGGTAGAACTCGGTAGAACAGACTGCATAATGCATATGTAAGACCGAGGGGGGGGGGGGGGNNGGAGGGAGAAGGAGGGAGAAGGAGGGAGAAGGAGGGAGAAGGAGGGAAAGAAGGCAGAAGGAGAGAGAAGGAGAGAGGAGGAGGGAGAAGGAGGGAGAAGGAGGGAAAGAAGGGAGAAGGAGAGAGAAGGAGAGAGAAGGAGAGAGGAGGAGAGAGGAGGAAAGAAAAAACTTTAAAACAATTTTATGCATCGCACGCGGAGACAAACTTTCCTTGTAGTTTGAAAGAATGTCAACCTACCTTTTGAGAAATTATCTATATCAGTAGATCGTCATATTTTAGAATTACACAGTGCAGTGTCTTAAAAATCTGGTATTTTGATGAATAATTTCTCTCACTTTCCTCCACATTTTCCCAAACATTATCAGTGTAAAAAGATGAGGATGCATTATTTATATGATATAAAAATATTTATTTTCATATTTGCATTATTCATTGAAAATCCCGCAATTTCTAAAAGTTTGATAAATCAATACATTTTGCATGTTTTGTTTAAACAGAGCGGAAGTAAAAGATAAGGATTGTTTATATAGTTAGTCTTTACTCAATACTACAGTGTTACAGGGTTTACTATATAGTTAGTCTTTACTCAATACTGCACTGTACAGTGATACAGGGCTTACTATATAGTTAGTCTTTGCTCAATACTACAGTGATACAGGGTTTACTATATAGTTAGTCTTTACTCAATGCCCTAGCTACAGTGATACAGATTTATACCCACAGTCTTACTGTGGTCTATACCAGGGTTGAGTTAGTCTTACTCGGGTCTATACCTAGATACAGGGTTCAGTTAGTCTTACTCTGGTCTATACCTAGATACAGGGTTGAGTTAGTCTTACTCGGGTCTATACCTAGATACAGGGTTCAGTTAGCCTTACTCTGGTCTATACCTAGATACAGGGTTGAGTTAGTCTTACTCGGGTCTATACCTAGATACAGGGTTCAGTTAGCCTTACTCTGGTCTATACCTAGATACAGGGTTCAGTTAGTTTTATTCTGGTCTATACCAAGATACAGGGTTCAGTTAGCCTTACTCTGGTCTATACCTAGATACAGGGTTTAGTTAGTCTTATTCAGATCGATACCTAGATACATGGTCCAGTTAATCTTACTCTGGTCTATACCTAGATACAGGGTTCAGTTAGTCTTACTCTGGTCTATACATTTAGATACAAGGTTCAGTTAGTCTTACTCTGGTCTATACATTTAGAAACAAGGTTCAGTTAGTCTTGCTCTGGTCTATACATTTAGATACAAGGTTCAGTTCGTCTTACTCTGGTCTATACATTTAGATATAGGGTTCAGTTCGTCTTACTCAAATCTATACCTAGATAAAATATATTAAAAAATAGTTATTTATTTTAATAGACGTAGATTCAAACAATAAAGCATATATTTAGACAGTAAACGAAAAACTTAAATTGTTCCAAACAATTAATTAACATTTATTTTGCAGAAACAAGAACGGCTGGGATTGATTGATGAAATCTAGGATATTATAAGATGAATCAAGACCAGGATTGATTGATGAAATCTAGGATATTATAAGATGAATCAAGACCAGGATTGATTGATGAAATCTAGGAGATTATAAGATGAATCAAGACCAGGATTGATTGATGAAATCTAGGATATTATAAGATGAAATAGAACAGTACACCAAATGAATCATCTACTTCTTGTGATGTTATTGTGAATAAAAACTTTAGTGATTATGGTACATTGTTAGCTATCGAAATTGACCAAAGACAAATTGACCTATTAGCTACTCAGATTTTAGCTTGACGGTCAATCTTGAAGAACCGACTAACACTGATTTCTCCTCATTGAGTGGATAGATCACTGTTCTAATCTGATTGGTTACAGAAACCAGCTGTTTAACTTGATATTTTACTGGAACAAATATAAAGAATTATTTCAGTGCTCCACAACTTAATTAACCTTGGTTGCTTAGGGAAGTAAATATAGAATTGGAGCAAACTAGTTTAAAGATAAGTGATGAGCCGACCAAGCTATGAGGATGGAACGGCCATCTTGTTTTCTGAACTTGAATCCCGCGTGACTGGAGTTGTGGCATGCATATGCTCTGTTCTAGGTAGGGCACTGCAATCTAATATGTGCAAGCTCTCACCCCAATGTCGAACAGTTTTGCCAACTAATCCTTTTAAGCTTAAGCTAGAAACAGGCGCGTTGCAATTTTACAATGTATATGCCCAGGGCTACAAAACAGTAAGTAAGTTTGTGAGGTAAAACCAAAGGCCAAGACATTGAGACACTTTAAAGTCGAGGCTGTATACAAATTTGAAGACTAACTTTCAGAGTTGTATAGATCTCCGTGAGGGAAAACGGTTTATTCAGGGACGTAGTCAGAAATTGGTCCAGGGGGGCTTCCATTTTTCCTTCCAAGGGGGGCTAAGCAAACCGTTGGGGCCTGAAAACCCCCTGAAATCCATAGATTTCGATGGTCCAAGGGGGCAGGGGGCTTAACACCCATAGCCCCTCCTGACTACGCCTTTGGGGTGTATTTCAAAGGGTTACCCAATAAGAATGAGACAGTGAAGACGACCGTAAACTCTTAAAATGTGACATTAGACCTTTTTAAGAAAAGGTTTTTAAGAGGTCAAATAAAGATGGTTTGAAAAAATAATTTTTCAGGAGTTGTTGGAAACTTGGTAACTATCGGAGCCCTGCTTAATAGGTAAACTAATAGTTCAAAATTAATTTAATGCTAGTTTTTATAAATCCGACTCAGGGGGGATGATCAAAGAGAATAGAATATATAGAGAGGAATTTACTAGAAAAAAGTGTAAAACGGCCATTTTGTTGTACTGTTTCCATACTGCAGGTGTACTTCACATATTTATGCCATATAACCTTTTGGGCCCTGGAATATAATTTTATAGAAAATCTAAAATTAATATTAAAAGAAAACCAAATTATGAAATAGGCTGGTTTCACAATTGACCAATGATCATTTCACATAGACTCTATGCCTTTCACTTTACAAACGATGATTTTCCGTTATAACTATAAATCGAAAGATGTTTTTTATTCACCTAATTCTTTATAAAGTTTATTTAACAGCTTAAAAAAATTGAAATTGAAATGGATAGTCTAGGGAACATACTGCATATAATTTGTGAACATTTACATGATTTGTACACTTTCAGGCTGAAAAGAACTTACAAAATTCATACCGAGGGATTGTCTAAATTCCACTCTGATATATATTCTATTCTCTTTGGGGATGATAGTTCTCTACCTTTGTGCTCAGTTAGCTGTACTGTACACTTACAATTGTTTACTTGTATATCGATATAATATAGGTTAGGCCAGAATCATCTTATAATAAACAAATATGCAGTACGCTCTCAGTATAGTTGATGGCCTATACAATTAGTAAAGGATAAGCGCACATCATGCACTCTATACACTATAACCTCGTTAATCCGACCATCTCGTAAACCAGATGCAACTTTTAAAATTACGGATAACTTGAGATTTCAACAACAGTCTTTTTAAAGGGGCTGTAAGCATAATTTCATGTGAACTTCCAATTATAGAGTGGTTTACAACGATACCCTTTATTAATACCAATTAAAAATGCGAGTGTACACTGTAACCTGTAATCATTGTCCGGTAGGGTTGTCAATCGTTTATGAAAACAATCGTTTTTTTCGTTTTTCGATCGTTTTCAAAAACGATAGTTTCGTTTTTTAAAAAAGGATCGTTTTTAAAAACGATCTAATCGTTTTGAACTTTTAGAAAACGAATAACGATCGTTTCTATAGGTATGTTTTTTAAAAAACGATCATTTTTGAAAAAAAAGTCATTGATAAATATGTTAACGATCGTTAACGACGAACGTTATGAAAACTGTCGTTATCCAAAAAAAAAATTACATGCAACTTTATCGAATGTTGTCTTACATGAAGGTAAAAAGTTGTTGGGGCGCTAAAACTTCTTCGTATTTTCTTTAAAATTACTCATTGATAAATACCGATGCTCCTCCTTTCTTCGTTAACGATCGTTAATGAAGGTTCGTCGTTAACGATCGTTAGCAAAGGGACGTCGTAACAATCGTTAACGAAGGGACATCGTAACATTCGTTATAGAAACGACGAGCTTTATAAAACAATCCCTTTGAAAAACGATCGTTATAAAAAACGAACTTTTTAAAAAAAACTATCGTTTTTAAAAATGATCGTTTCGTTTTTTTTGTCGTTGTTTATATAATGAAAAATGAAAACATTAACATCCCATGTAGTGAATCGGACATGCCTCTTTATAAATGGAGGATCACATAAATTACAACAACAGAGTCGGAATTAAATGAATTTGAGCCGCGTCTCAAATCCGCCAAAAAGCAGTTTCAATTCAGAGTTGACTTAAATCTTGAAATATTGAATACAATTTTAAGTGGAACCACTCATATTTGAGCCGCGTCTCAATTTTTTTTTAATTCGGCCTCATTCTCTTTAATAATTTAGTAAAAAGTTGCGGAGTCATCCCACCACACTTTTCCTGATCTCCTTAGCTCTCTCAGATCTTATATTCGGAGGATACAACCTTCCACTCACAGCTCATAGGTAAACCTTAGCTCTCTCAGATCTTATATTCGGAGGATACAACCTTCCACTCACAGCCCATAGGTAAACCTTAGCTCTCTCAGATCTTATATTCGGAGGATACAACCTTCCTCTCACAGCCCAAACACAAATCATAGTTTGAAATATGAAAGGTCTATGTACGTCCTCTTTCTTCAAACAAATAAATAATTATGATTATAGTTTAGCATGTAGTCATCATTTTAGATTTCTAAACTGTTAACAAATACATTATTATATGAATGAAATGGAATACAATAGATAATTAATTTTGATAATAGTTCCCCATATTGATCATGAATTTTTTTATCCTCTCTTTCTCTAAGTTCGGTCGAATCTTCCTGTCTAACCATGTATGATTGGTTTCCAGGAAATGTATCTTCATATATCTTTCTGTAATCTAAATACAGGGTTCGAACCCACAGGGTGAGACAAAAAAACCGAGAATATCAATGTTTTGGACAAGTTTTTCATTGCTTCCGATTTTAGGCATAAAAAAATACAAATATGTGACATGTGATATGGGATAAAAAAATTTTTTTGACATCGAATAAAAATTATCCGCGAAACAATTTTATTTCAAAATAGTTTTTTAAAAATTTTTGGGCAAATGTTTCCCAAAATTTAATGTAAAATTCATCAAAACTGAATAAGATGTAACAATTACTGTAAACCAATTAATTGCATTTTTGAAGTCAAAACAGTTCTAATGTATTATTTTGATTACATTTACTGAAGATTTCCACTTCTAGATTTTTTGCCGATTTTGAATATTTTGTTTGAAATATGACTAGTCCCTGTTTTTGAACTCACCCTGTGAAGAAACAGTTTAATGACGTTTTATATTAGTGTTCATTTAAATAAATCATAAAGAATTTTTTTCCGGAATTGAAAAAAATAATAATTTTTTTTTTTGAACATTGAAAAAAATAATGAAATAGGGTTTTCTTGATATTAGACTATACTGACAACTGTATAACTTTTATTCTGGACTGAAAAAAATGACCCAATCCAACTGTAAAAAAATAGATGAATGTTCAAAGTAAAGTTGATAAAAGAGAATTTAATCAATGATAGGGACAATTATACCAACATAGCCGAGATCATAGGAATAGTCAATAGATAGCCTTATTTATTTAGTAATCCTTTGTTTTTGTATTCGGATATGGTCTGAGCTGTATTATAGGATAAAGAGATCAATGCTATATAGATCTCAACAGTTTATTTATCTGAGGATTAATTTAGTCTTTAGTCGATATTCCGCGTGCAGAGGGATTGAACGAAGCTTTGACCAGGGTTTGGGGGTTTTGATCAGGGGAGGAATTACTGAAATAGGTTAAGCCATGATTCTCAAATTAAAAGTGTCCACAGTAGATATCGAGATCAAGCGATCGGGATTATGAGTATCAAACTCAAAGCTCTGATAGCATTGTGAATATGTTGTTTATATCTTGTATTGTTCATGATAAATAGATTTTTCTTTTAGATTTTTCCACCGTGGTTGTGAGTTTATGTGCTTGGATTATCATGTCTGCAGATACTTTCCATTCTTTTTCTACGGGAACCTTGGGGTCTCCATCTACATCATGTCCATCATTGCGATCTATCGAGTCTTTGGGGTCTTCAATGGACATGTTCTTAACACAGTTTTCAATACGGTAATAGAGCTCTTGAGTTATTTTTTCAAAAATTGAATTTTAAAGAAATATTGTTTGTCCTCTTTGGTTTTGTAATAAAGAAATTTTGTATGCAAAAAGATCCTTAGGATCGATTATTATTGATCCACTGTGCATGTCGATCCGCTTTGGACAAATGATCCAGAACAGGAAAGTGATTAAATTCCCGAAAGAAATTGAGTTTTTGCCTTTTCTAATCCTTATATCTGCCGTAGACCTTTGATACCTAAAAAAAGCTTAAAATATCAGATATTTGCGCCATCAGGTTGCAAGAAATGGAGAATAGAAAATTTGAGTTTGTGGCAAAAGGTCAGTTTCTTTCTAATTATTTTATCAATGTGAGATCGGTTAATCTTTTTTTGAAAAAAAAATTGAGTTTAACTTATTCTTTCAAATTTCAAAACAAAAAGTTTGTGAAACATTTGACCATAGAGAATAGAATATATAGAGAGGAATTAAACGAATCTCTCGGTATGAATTTTTTCAGTCCCTTTCAGCCTGAAAGGGAGTTCAAAGTGTACAAATCATGTAAATGTTCACAAATTATATGCAGTAGAGTACATTAATACAGTATGTTCCCTAGACTATTCATTTCAATTTCGAATTTTTTAAACTGTAAATAAACTTTAAAATGAATTAGGTGAATAAAAACATCATTTGATTTATAATTATAACGGAAAATCATCGTTTGTAAAGTGGAAGTCTATGTGAAATGATCATTGGTCAATTATGAAACCAGCCTATTTCATAATTTGGGTTTCTTTAAACAAAAATTTTAGATTTTCAATAAAATGATATTCCAGGGCCCAACAGGTTATATAGCACAAATATGTTAAGTACACCTGCAGTATGGAAACAGTACAACAAAATGGCCGTTTTACACTTTTTTCTAGTAAATTCCTCTCTATATATATATTCTATTATCTATGCATTTGACCAATTTTTGCAGCGCACTGTTCCTCTGATGATACTTGGTGTTTGGATTTTAGTTTTTGGAACTCTTACTCTTCCATTGACAGAACATTGGGGACAGTTTGGGTTTGAGAGTCAAACATTCTCATGTACAATAGGTAGAATTTACAGTATAATGTATTATGTACAATTAGGCAGAATTTACAGTTCAATGTATTATGTACTATAGGTAGCATTTGCAGTAAAATGTATTAAGTACAATAGCTATAATTTGCATTACAATGTGTTATGTACAATGGGTAGCATTTGCAGTATAATGTATTATGTACAATAGCTATAATTTACAATACAATGTGTTATGTACAATAGGTATAATTTGCAATGCAATTGTTATGCACAATAGATATCATTTGCAGTAAAATGTGTTATGTACATTAGATAGCATTTTCAGTACATTTTATTATGTACAATAGGTAGCATTTCCAGTACAATTTATCATGTACAATAGGCAGAATTTTCATTACACTGTATTATGTACAATAGGTAGCATTTGCAGTACACTGTATTATGTACAATAGGTAGCATTTGCAGTACAATGTATTATGTACAATAGGTATCATTTGCAATACAATGTATTATGTACAATAGGTAGCATTTTCAGTAAAATTTGTTATGTACAATAGCTATAATTTGCAATACAATGTGTTATGTACAATAGGTAGCATTTGCAGTACATTTTTTATATGTACATTAGCTATAATTTGCAATACAATGTATTATGTACAATAGGCATCATTTGCAATACAATTATTATGCACAATAGGTATCATTTGCAGTACAATGTATTATGTACAATAGGTATCATTTGCAGTAAAATGTGTCATGTACAATAGGCAGAATTTTCATTACACTGTATTATGTACAATAGGTAGCATTTGCAGTACACTGTATTATGTACAATTGGTAGCATTTGATGTACAATGTATTATGTACAATAGGTATCATTTGTTATACAATGTATTATGTACAATAGGTAGCATTTGCAATAAAATGTGTTATTTACAATAGCTATAATTTGCAATACAATGTGCTATGTACAATAGGTAGCATTTGCAGTACATTTTTTATGTACATTAGCTATAATTTGCAATACAATGTGTTACGTACAATAGGTATCATTTGCAATACAATTATTATGCACAATAGGTATCATTTGCAGTACAATGTATTATGTACAATAGGTATCATTTGCAGTAAAATGTGTCATGTACAATAGGTAGCATTTGCAGTACAATGTATTATGTACATTAGGTATCATTTGAAATACAATTATTATGCACAATAGGTATCATTTGCAGAACAATGTATCATGTACAATAGGTATTATGCGCAATACAATGTACGATGTACAATATTATTTCAAGTACATTGTATGTTGTATAATAGATATTATTTCCAGTACATTGTATTAAAAACAATAGGTATCATTTGCTGTACAATGTGTCATGTACAATAGGTATAATTTCCAGTACAATGTATTTGAGAACACTGAAAATCTAAGGATAGGCATTTACCAATTACAATTATATTTTCTACTTATGCTCTTTTGGAGGACCTTATTATATTTACCCTTCTATGTATAATTGATAATAATTTTGTTTAGAAAAACTGATTATTATCTACTGTTATTATTATTGTTTACTGAACCATACTTAAGGAGAACAGCAAACTATATAATTTGCTTGAACTTCAGATTCTTTATATACTTCTCTCCCCGACTCCGAACCCCCTTTCTGAACTATTTAAACAAAATAATAATTGGCTTTTAGGGCGCTTCGCGGACCCCCTTTTCTACAATACAGAAACGAAAATCATTTGACTATTGTGAATCCGAAATGCCAATTTATAGCCTTGAACCCTGGAAAATTTAGATATTTCTTAAACTATTTGAATCTTTGAAAATCCCTTTAATTTAACTTTTAAATGATTGTTTTTGTTCACTGCAAAAACAAGTAAACACTAAGGATAATCAATTTCTAAGAAGGTTAGCGTACTCTCCCTTTATGCCTTCCAAGTTTGTAGTTGTACTGTACATCTTGCTAAAGTAGGCTCGGTACAAGAGACAATATAATTCTAAGAAGAGTTACAAATTTTGATTAATTTATAATCTTTAACTTTACAAATTTTATCTGTGATACTTTTAGTACGGCGGTAGGCGATTATAGCAATAAAATGAAGACGACTTTTTACTTAAGATTTAATTGTTAACCAGTTTTTTTTAATTACAAGTTTACAAGTAATTAAAGAGAAGCTTTTTTAATTGACAGCTTCTCTTTGTTTCAATATTTGTATGTATACATGCTGTTTTAAAGCATAATATAAGTCAAAATTTAAATCAAAAGTCGTCTTCATTATATTGATATTATCGCGTACCACCGTAGTATTCTGTGTTCCTGCAAAAGTGACTTGCTTATTTTTTTTTGCAGAAACAGTTTAGGAAATATTTGGAAAGAAACAATTTTATAGAACAAGAAAACCACTTGTTTAAAGAGAACCAGCCGTATGCGACGCAAGAATGTAATGCAAGGAAAGTTGATTTCAGTTGCGTATACTCTGCGTACATATTGAAACCGGTTCTCTCTGGGCGGAATTTGTAAACAAGAATAGATGCATCAGTGTTCGTTTAGTATCCGAGGAGGTTTAAAGCATTGAATTTTGATACTTTTGATAATTCACATAATAGTTCCCTATGACCAGAATATTTCATTGATTTTTTTATGTGAAAGATGGATCCCATGTCAGGCTGTGACATCCGTCTTGTGTTTACATTACCGCCCAGTGACAGTACACTGCAGTACAAATGATGCGTACACCTCTGAAATAACTTTCGTTGCCTTACATCCTTAATGCGATGTTAGTTCCTTTAAACCATAAATTTGACAAGATTTTAAATACACAAAATGTATTCTACGAAACATCTAAAAATATTCTGTTGTTTTCAACCAAAAATAGTCTAGCCAGGAAAATATCAAAAAACAAATTTTACAAAAATATTTCTCCAATTTCTCAAAAAATGAATAAAATTCATTTTTTCCGTGATAATATATTACAAGCTATCGTTAACATGGGTTTTGTAAATTTTTAACTAATACATTTTTTTTTCAAGTTGAAAGCGAAGGAGAAACATTTATGCCAGCCATGACTATTCTTGGTATAGTTCTTCCCTGCTGCTTCATATCTATATCCTATATATCCATATATTGGAGAGTTAGATTTACAGGTATATCCATATCCTATATATCCATATATACTAGAGGGTTAGATTTACAGGTATATCCATATCCTATATATCCATATATTTGAGAGTTAGATCTACAGGTATATCCAATGATCCAAATCCTTTATATCCATATACAAGAGGGTTAGATATACGGCTATATACATTTCCTATATATCCATATCCTATATATCCATCTATTGGAGAGTTAGATCTACAGGTATATCCATATACTAGCGGGTTAGATCTACGGGTATATACATATCATAAATATCCATATCCTATATTTAAATATATTTGAGAGTTAGACCTACAGGTATATCAATAACCTATATATCCATATACTAGTAAGAAACCATGATTTTTCCAAAGGGGGTGAAACAAGGGGTGTGTTGGCCCATTATCACCGAGTGAAACGTAGTGAACGAGGCGGGGGGGGGGGTTGCAGGGGTGCAGATCCCCCATGCAAAGAAAATTTTCATAATTTTGGTATAAAAACGAGTAAATTTAGCTTGAATTTTAAGTTATGTAGGTTATCTTCTAATCTGTCAACAAGACTAGTAATTTTCCTTTAACTTAATTCGATTTTCATTGAATTTGATGTTTTTGATGTTTTAAGGAAAATTTTCTTAATTTAGTTTTTAGCTCAAATTTTACAATATTGGAAAATAATTTTGATATTACTACTCACGTTCACTAATTTTGAGTTGTCTGGACAAAATATTGAAACTGAAGCAATGTTTCTGCAAAATTCAAGGAATTGAATTTTTGATGCATACTGGAACATATTTGCTACATTGCTTGTGTGACGTATGTAAATCAACATATGCAAAAGAACAACAAACCAGTTCACTTTGAAAATCTTACCTCCGGACAAAAAATTTCCAAAGAAGGTTTAATTTGGTTTTTGTATTCGGATATGGTC